TCTGATGTTCATGCTTGTAATATGAAATCCTTCCAGAGGGGCACGAGTGCTATTCGGCTTGTCCCGAATAACACGAAGTTGGTCACGAATGTTTACAGTGAGGGAAAATAGAATGTCCTTGTCCTCTGATGTCTTTGAAAATACACTTAGACAAATTATTTGTTACTTCAGTATCGTTTAGCTTGTGTTTAACCCGCTCACGCTAGACAGCTTTCGTCATTGTCAATTGACATTTACATCGTCTCCCATATCTGCACATAGACCACGCTTTGCAGTAGTAGTCTCTTTATAGGAGATATCGTCCTTGCGCATTCCGTCAGACTGTCGCATGCTTTACACGGGTAATGTGCCGTGCAGTAAATGTGTGAGAAACTTTTGAAACATTGGCAATGTATCCCTGGGCGTCCCGGTGATGTAAAAGTACTGCCATATAGCTTGAATATTGCTGACTGGCGGTAAAACTAAACTCACTCAGTCAGTCACACTCACGCTCACGCAGAGTAGGAACTTGTGATTACACAGCAGTTAAAGGTACTTCAGTAGTTTTGTATCAGTATCCATTACACTGTTACACTCGGGCTGTTGCAACTGAATTTGTGAATCGAGAGCAGGTACATATACTGGAAATACACGCGTAACACGCGCGATACAGGTCACCTATGAAGTTTTACAATCCATGCAAACAACACCGAATTGTTAGCAGAAGCATTGATTACTCTTCGGGGCATTGCAAAACTGGGAGCCGATTTTACTAGGCGCTTACTTCAGCTAGACAGAGTTACCCCCTTAGACCACAGCTACAACTTTTACCCTGACCGGGCGAACGCTCAATCACTGACAATCTTTAAAAGCTGCCCTTACAAAAGATTGAATTACAATGAAGGAATAGCACCTCTACTGCAGGGTGTATTTTAATTTTGTGTAGCTAGCTCGTCATTGTCCAATTGAAATTTACATCGTCTCCCCATATCTGCACGTGGACCACGCTTTGCAGTGGTAGTCTCTTTATAGGAGATATCGTCCCTAGCTTTCCTTCAGACTGTCGCATGTTTTGCACGGGTAACCTGCCGTGCGTGAAATGTCGATGAAACTTATGACACATATCGGCAATGTATCCCTGGACTGCGTCGGTGATATAAAGAAGTCCCTATTTTGTTAAATCTGTCCAAACTTTGGGTTTTTGAATGTAAGTATTATTCATGATGACTGGTACGTTGTTGAAAGTCTGTTTGCGTCATATTTAAGCGTGTTCAGCCTGGAGTTTTCGCGTGAGTTTGTTTGGTACTCTTTTTTTCTTTCATTTGGGGCTCGTCTCAAATAGTTTTTCTTTTGGCTCCCATGCGTTGTATTCACATGCGGATAATGTTGAGCGCCTAAAGCTTGCAGTGACTTTTGACATTGGACCAAGAACAGAAAATGTTTAACAACCAAAGGCCACTTCAGAACAAGCGTTTAAACTGTTGTATGTGCTAATTTTTAGTTTGGCACAACATGGCAAAGAAGCCCGTGAAAGTTTTTGAAGACAACTTTTGCCCAAAAGTAGCGTCCAATATGGCTGCCATCATATAAACATAGGCACATTTGGGCGATGCTACTGTGTAGGAACATGCATAGACACAAAGTATGCTAGCGTTTGAAAGCCGTAGCTCTTGTAGTTTCAGTGCAGCACATTTTGGGAGGAAAGTAGTCAGCATTTTGCTTAAAACATCAACAAAAACTTCAATCAACACCGAAGCGTCCAAGCGGTGCATTTTAGCGACTTGAGCGTCCAGGCGAAATTGTAGGCATTTTGATTCGCATCTGCTCCAGAACTTTGGCAAACATTGGGCATTTGTTTTGGGAGATATTTGTATTTGCATTTGAAATTTTTGAATTAATTTTGAATTATCTGCCCTTTGCTATTGGGCCTACAGCCTAGGGATTTTTAAAGCGCGATATGTACCCCTCGGTGGGCATCTGGGTGAATTTTTTCAAGGCATTCTGTCCAGCGATTGCTCTCTGTAGGTCTGGTACAAAATACGGCGGAAGAATAAATAATAATAATAAAACACTATGATTATTATAGGTCTCCTGCCTAAAGGCAAAGGAGCCTAATAAAAAAACTTTCTGAAAACGATTACAATAGGTCTCCTGCCTAAAGGCAAAGAGCCCTAATTAAAAATCGTTATTTTGAGTTTTCGGGGTTTTGACCCGGAACTTGATAGTATGTCAAAAATGCTTTCTAATGGTCAAAGGTCACCAAAGGTCCACGGGGTCACAAGGTCATTTGACTGGTCCGTCCTACAAGACAAAAACCGCGTTTTTGGCTGAGCTAAGAAAGCTGTTGTTATTACCTCTAGGGTGACAGGAATTAGTGTTTCTGTTTTGCCCAGACCCGATGTATCATATCGCCCGGTCAGATTTAGGTGACAAATATGTCCGCCTCACTGTCCGCATGTCTGTCCGTCAAAATACTGTATAGTTAGTATCTCCGGAACTATGAAACGCGACAGAGTTGAGCTTTGCACACAGCATTCCCTTGACTGTGCCTTAACGATGATGTAAAAATCAAGTCATTTTGAATTTCAACTTTTGTTGCTATGGCAACCTGATAAATGAAAAACTTCAATCCAAGATGGCGGCCAAGCGGCTAGAGATATCGCTCTGGGACAACCAGACAAAATGATCGGCATCTCATGACCAAGTCACATACCAAATATGAAGCGATTGGGGCAATAGTGGTGGAGTTATATGCTGTTTTATGCCGTTTTGGACTCGTAATGCATTTCTGCAATTTTCAATGCCATATGGCCGACAAAGCGATCAAACTTTTGATATGCATGTAAGAACACGAAATGTTAAGCATCTTATGTTGATGCATACTGCCAAGTTTTACTGCCTTCTGTGCAGAACTTGAGAAGCTATGCTGTTTATAATGTAGTATCATCAGAATCTGGCCAATTCCAATATGGCGTAAGCAATACACATTTTGACATACACCCAAGAACAAAAAATGTTCAACACACTTAGTTACTATGTACTGCCAGATTCTAGCTGCATAGTTGAAATAGTTATGGCGGCGCTGCGATTTTTGAAAATACATTTTTTAGTACAAAATAAACAACAGAAGCAAACATCTAGATATCCGTAACTAATCAAGATATCGCCAACGCAGCTTATGGGCATTAATATTTGAGGTATATATTGTATATCTGCACATTTACAGCGTTCTGCAGTTCATACATTCACAGTTATGGATTGCGAAAATGCCTACCCAACAAAATCTGCAAATTTCCGATAAACATCTTCAATCCAATATGGCCGCGCATCTGCGTGACTTTTGACATAGGACCAAGAACAGAAAATGTTCAACAACCAAAGGCAACTTCAGAACAAGCGTTTAAAGTGTTGTATGTGGTAAGTTTCGTTTGGCACAAAATAGCAAAGTAGCCCGTGAAAGTTTTTGAAGACAACTTTTGCCCAAAAGTAGCGTCCAATATGGCGGCCATCATATAAACATAGGCACATTTGGCGATGCTACTGTGTAGAAACATGCATAGAAACAAAGTATGCAACGTTTGAAAGCCGTAGCCCTTGTAGTTTTAGTGCAGCACATTTTGGGAGGTATGCAGTCAGGATTTTGCTGAAAAACATCAACAAAAACTTCAATCCCAAATAAGCGTCGAGCGGTGCATTTTAGCGACTTGAGCCGTCCCAGGAAGAAATTGTAGGCATTTTGATTGCGCATCTGCTCCAAGAACTTTGCACACATTGGAACATTAGTTTGGAGATATCTGAATTTGAAATTGAAATTTTTGAATTAATTTTGAATTATCTGCCCTTTGCTATTGGGCCTACAGCCTAGAGATTTTAAAGCTAGCGATATCTACACCTCGGTGGGCATCTGGGTAATTTTGTCAAGGTAATGAAAGTTTAAGATGAAGTTAATTGTCAACACAAACATGACCAGTCAACCTCTCTTGATATCTTGCTCTTTAGTTGTTCAAACACACACATTTTTCAAGACTGACTTTGACCTTGACATGAATGTCATAGTGTATGAAATATGCAAAAATGGTACTAAAGAAATTGCTTACTGAAAAACATTCAATGGAAGTCTTGAAAGCCTATGAAGAAAATCCAGTGAATTCAGGTTAACATGCTGAAATCTTTGCAGTGACCTTGAAAATTATGTGAAAGTCACAAACTGGGCTCTGTGCCTTCATGAGATGAAACTTGGTGTCAAATATAAAAAAAATCCAGTGAATGGTTTTTGGACATCTTGCTGATTATCTTAACATGCAATTTAACATGGTGAAATCTTCAAAGTGAAGGTCACCAAAATTGACTGGACTTTCCCTAGATGAAACTTGGTGTCAAACATGAAGAAACTCCAGTGAATGGTTCTTGAGATATCTCGCTGACCATCTTAACATGCACGTTAACATACTGAAATCTTCAAAGTGTCGCTTTTACGTTGAAAATTAAGTGAAGGTCACCAAAATCTGGGCCCTTGCGCCTTCCCTAGATAAAGCTTGGTGTTGAATATGAAGAAAATCTAGTGGACGGTTCTTGAGATATCTCGCTGACAAGAGGAAAACGTTAAAGACCCCTTATGACCTTAAAATTAAGGTCAAGGTCACCAAACCTGACTGGGACGTTTCTTATACTGTGATGAACCTAGGTACCAAATATGAAAAGAATCTAGTCAATGGTACTTAAGATATTCCAATTCGTACGTACGTACGGACAGAGCCTAATACTATATCCCCCGCATCACGCGAAACGTGCGGCGGGGGATAACAACAAAGAACCATGTTATACTTACCTGCAATAACAACCTGAATAGGGAAATCTGAAAAATGACGGTAAGCAATTTTTTTTCTATGATTGCTCGTTGGTAAGGAACCAATGATCAATTGTGAGATTTCAACCAATTCCCAACACTAAGACACACACATGTGCAAACACACAATCTGCCAGCATTGCAGTACGGATACTCTCCAATCATAGAGCCTCACCAGAATCTGATACTGCTGTTTGTTCTGTTGGTGCGGAGACTGCGTCACCTGCTGTCGCTGCTGGCTTCCTGGTGCCTTGCCAGTGTTGCCACGTCCTTTTCCGGGGGACTCTGCTCGATGTTTCTGTTCCTTCACAGACAGCTTGGCAGATTCCCTCAGCTGCATGTACTCCTGGTAGTCACTCTGTAGCTGCTGACCAAATACTAGTGTCTGGCGTTGTTTCTGCCGCGTGACCCAGGCTGTCTTCCATCATTGGTTTCACGATTCTTGGATGCCTTCTGCTGATTGGTTGTATTCTTGAACTCCCCGTCTGACTGAGACTGAGACTGGGACTGAGATTGAGATTGAGACTGAGACTCCGAATTGAAACCTAACCATTTGCGTAACTGTCTGAAATGGAAATAAACAACATACAGACAAATCTTTCACAGAGGGTTTCCAACTTCAGTACAACAAGCTTAAGGACAGATGGTTTGTCTTAAAGATATCATGCAATATTAGCCACTGTATAACATCTCTACTCTATACTAATAAATACCCAGGGCCGATTCAGTGTTGTGCCATTTGAATCAGAGCTCTGGAAACAAACACGTCCAGATCACTGAACATAGTATACTGGAGTAGATATATATTACACTGGATAATGGAGGCAGGTACTTGTGTGGATTAAGATGGCAACTCTAAATCTTGTACATCTGAAATCCTTTATTAACCAACATCAACAACATAAACCTGTGCACTGATACTAACCAGTATTCACAAAGTTTGACAAAGATAGTTTACGTCATGGAAAATGGCATTTGTTCATTTTATTCTTTCTCGTTTGATGGTTATCTCAGCAATATTCCACACATTGATGGGTGTCTACAAATAACTAAATCCTGAACAGAAAATGCTGTGAATGCTGTTGCTGATAACAACAAGTACTCATGCCAGCTGGCTATGATGATATGTTATTGCCGCAGTCACTGAGCCCAACCATTGCATTAATTCAACTGCCCCTTAAGACCAGCTGAGGTTGCTGGAGACCAATTCCAAGAACACTCGCAGGGGTAGAAAATGACATGTCACACCAGGCAGGGTTTTACATGACGTGGGATTCCTGCGTATTTGACGCAACAATTTTGTTAAAGACTCTCAAAATATTATCATACGAGTCAAGCTTGACGCTAGTTTTATGAGTGACCCTCAGAATTTAGTTCAGAGTCAATAAAATCGATTTGATAGCAAACAATGATAGTTTTTTTTAGGTCTTTATTAATTTAGATATTTCTTTCAATTCATGTTCATAACTGTATGTTACATTGAATAAATCACAAGCCTGATTATGTGTTCAGTATACTGGAGTTTGTTATGAATGAACTGAACAGTGAAAAATATACTATTTATTAACTAGCATAAAAATGACAATACAACACAAAACAAAAAAAATCTTTGCAAAACTCTTGCTTTTTGATATACACACATAAATATTACACAAACATTTTTCCCAAATATTGAAAATGACTCCCCAAAATAAACACTGTGGGTCACCATGACTCTCTTTTTTCAAAGTCTGTGTAAAACCCTGCACCTGGGCTAGAGATAAGGGCCGTGTCAGCGTATGTATGGCTAAAAAATATGCACAATACGGTAGGAAATAGTTTAGAAAACGTAGCAGATAAACACGACAGCAATGGTGTACGGTCTCAGAATCATTTACGGAGGTACTTATCTGAAAACGTATTATTTTATTGTTGATTGCTCCATTTACACAAGAGTAGGATTGTTGTGGTGCATAGATGAAACAAAACACAAGATTACTGGTACTCCATTTAATTCCATTCAGTACTTGAAATGTACTCTTAAGGTTTTCCAGTACTCCTATATTGAAAAAAATAAGGAGTACCTACTCCTGATGTTGAAAAATTATCTGGAGCCCTGTTACACCCATAATTCCTGGTCACTGATTGGTCAAGGTCAGAACAATTATCTTGCCTTCTCGTCTGAATGTTGAGATCTGATTGGTTCACATGATCTTGATAAAATACTATGATATCCTGCCTAGCAGGGGAAATGCATTTCTGAACAGGACAATAATTTCCTTATACTCGGACATGAGGAAAACAAGCTGCACATGGATTTCTAAATACAACACTAAATCTCTTGAAGCATCTTACGACATTTTGACATCTAATTAGTTTAGGAAACACAGTAACACTCACTTAACAAATGGGATCACCATGAAGAAGTTATTGGGGTTCATCCCCAGCTTGGTCTTGCACCCAAGGTCCTTCTTGTGACAAGGCAGAGAATCAATAGGGAACCACTGCAGGCTCTGAAACCAAACATCCACTGCATGTCCACTATTCTGAGACCCATGGTATTATGTGGGATTCCAAACTAACTTCCCTTAACATGCAAAGTGGTAGATATTGGTATTTGTTCAAAATATTTATTCTAACACTGCATTCAAACCATACTGTTAAACTAAGCATCAAAGCTGTTTACTCTAGATTGGTTCTGTAATTAATGAAATACATGTCACTTTTACACTGCTAGAACATTGGCTTAAACTGTAACAGCATGAAATGCCATAGTAATGGGTAAATAGGGACATTTTCAGTACAGCCACCATGTACATCCTTTTAAATATGTAACTAAAATGTAGTGTGGACTATTTGACAGTGTTTATGTACACTTGCTCAAAGGTCAGTATTTGGCCTGAAGTCTCCAACAAATGTTGTTTAAAGTTCCCAGCAGCAATTAAACATATCCCAGTTCATGGTGCTATAGCTGCCAGTAATGATATGGCATTGCAGAAATGTATTGTAGTTCAGATTATATGACCAATATTGAGGAAGATAGTGGTGGTCCGATTAATTGAAATAATAGAAGATTGGTCGCAGTGACTAAACGATCATAATCGAACACAAACAATTTTGGAACACTTGTTTGCAAAGGTTGGTTTTGCCTGTTACATTTCATAAGCACTACAAGCTCGTTCAAAGTCATGATTGAATTTATCTTAAAGACTCTAGGAAATTTATGTTCCTAACATACTAGTCATCCTTAAAAGGTGTGCAATTTGCAACAAAAAACACACAGAAAAAATTACATGTTTTTTTCTTTATTTTTTGTGCATTAACAACCATAACCAGGAAAATTTGATAGATGACACTAACCAATAATTTTCGATGATTGATCGGTTGTAATGAACCAGTCACCAATTATGAGATTTGAACCAATTCCCAACACTAGAGGAAGAAGCATTTCAAAGTCTCTGAAACAAGGCCTATGAATAATCCCAGCTACGATGACAACAGAACTTGCTCACAAGTCTTCTGAACACAGTCATCATGTTAACCACGTTAAAATGTGATTGTTTTGCCCATTTCTTTGGAGGCTTAAAGGCGTTATTCAGATAATGTAATTTTCTGAGTAAAATTGATATTTTATACTTATCCTGACTCATGTATTATTGCTTGTCTCCTTCCCTTCCCGAACGTTAGTGGAACACTTGTATCTCCTTTTTGAAGCTCCCTTCAATAAAGCAGACGTAAAATCACTACTCACCACGAGTTGTATTCCTCTCAGTTTTGGCGGGAAAACAGCGCCACCTGTCTTCCCACGCTTCACTCTCTCCGAATAGCTAGCCCGACACTTCGATTTACAGGGAAATCCAAAGTGCCTAGCAGGGGAGGTTGGGAGGGCTTACCTCATGAGTCAGGATAAGTATAAAATATCAATTTTACTCAGAAAATTACATATTTTTCCTTATCCTGACTCATGTATTATTGCTTGTAGAATCCGTCGGTTCTTGTGGTGGGACAAGCCACTTCTGGATTCCAATTAGTGATTTACGTCTTGCATACCCCCCTATGGGAACTTCCTGGTAGCACTTCAATTTACTGCTAGGCTCTGCTGCTGCTGTAACCCTTTACTTCCAGCTTTCTCTGATGGGGGGACCACAATTGTTAACTTTTGGTCCTTGCTTCTGTTAACATTTTTATGTGGATTTGCAACTCCATCTCTTGATGCAAGCATCAAGTGGAGAAGCGACCCTTTTATGTACTGCGATGCGTCCTTACAAGTACTGGGTCTTATCACTTATGCTAGTCTGTCTTAGGCGTGCATATGGACTCTAAAGCTGTAACTCTCCTGAGTGTAGGCTTTTGCAAGTCATGTGATAAAGGGTGAGACTCCGTCTCAGCCTTTGTGGAACTGTCAATTGTTGTGCTACAACAAGTGGGCGAAATGGTGAATGCCAGAGGCGTCCTCGGTGGCGATGTCTCTCAGGTAGTGGTTGGCAAACACCATGTCCGATTTCCAGAAGCAGCCCTCCATTATCGTAGGTGATAGAGCAATTCCCATGTAGAGCTTAAAGTGTTGGCCCAGAGCTCTAATTTCATGTGGATTGGAGGCTCTTGGAGGATCAAGTCCTGCTGCTTTGTAGGCCCGTAGTATGACAGTTCTCATCCATATTGATATCGTAGTGCAAGAGATCTCCGTCTGTGTCGCTGTCGATATAGGGATGAAAAGACGCTTGAATTTTCGTCTCCTGGTCCTAGACCTTTGTAGGTAGACTTTCAATGCTCTTACTGGGCATAAGGATAGGTCCTGTGTATCCTGTGGCCCAAGGACTGATGATAGTGCTGGGATGTGGAATTGTCTGTCCGGTTGTCCTGGCAGTTGATTCTTTGCTATAAAGTCCCATCTCAGTCCCATATGCACGATGTTTCGATTTTCGTCAAATCGTGTCCTCTCGAAGTCTAGAGCATGTATTTCCGACATCCTTGCTGCTGTTGCTAAGGCGATCAGGAATAGAGTTTTCTGCGTCAAGAACTCAAAAGATGTCCTATCTAATTGTTCATAAGCGTCACTGGTGAGATGCCGTAGAACTATGTTGAGGTCCCACGCCGGAGCTTTAAATCTCTGTTGTTGGTCCTCCAGTTTAAAAGAGCGTAGTAAGGCCAGTAACTCTGGTACCTTAGTCAGTTTTACACTCGTCCTCATAGTGATAACTGAGCTCAATGCCGCTAGGTATGTTAAGAGTGTTGACCCTTTCAACCGCTTCGTTTGTCTTAGGTGACAAAGATAGTCCGCCACTTGAGGGTGTGTCGCTTTTATGGCTGTGAAGCCTGTTTTCAAAGTGTAGGTCTCGAAGCTTCGCCATTTGTCGTCGTACAAGTTGCGTGTTGACTTGCGTAAAGCTAAGCGTGACTGCTTTCGCTGCTCTGGCGGAATATCCTCTCTTATTCAAGCACGCCTTGATACGCTCCACGCGTGTAGCTGGAACACCTGTGGGTTGCCGTGTGCTTGCTTTGTGTGTGGATGTACTAGCAAGTTCGGTCCACTCTGGTAGTTGCAGTTGAGGTGGTCCTAGTTCTTGTATGAGAATGGGGGACCATATTCTAAGGCTGGCCAGTATGAAGTTTGAAGCTCTGGATGTAGCACCAAAATCAGTTGCAGGTTCTTCGTCTGTATGATTTTCTGCAACACTTCAGAAGGTTAGCCGACCTTGTATTAGAGCTAGTGGTGGGAACTTTAAAATGCTGGTCCAGTAAGCGTTTTAGTCCTTCCCAAGAGATGCTTCCAGAGCACAGGCCCAACAGGCTCTGCCACTGTCGTAAGTAGTGGCATTAGACTGAGTCCACCATAGAGAGAGTAGAGCTTCGGCGATACCATCTGTCTCCCTCTGCTGGCGTATCTTTAGCCAACGGTCCTCTGGTACTGCTATGCGGTTTTCCGTTGTGATGAGCCGAATTCCTAGGAACTGCAGGTCATGTGTAGGCTCTAGTTCCGACTTGAGGAGATTCACTAGCCACCCTAGTTGTGTGAGAAGCCTGATGGTAAAGTCCAGCTGTAGTCTGAGATGATTGGGATCTTGATGAGCTTGAATCCCGTCGTCTAGGTAGAACGCACTGCGTAGACCTCGATGATGTAGGTATGTGACTATGGGCTTCGTCACTCTTGTAAACAACCAGGGGGCCGATGATATTCCAAATGGCAGGACTTTCCTTGATTCCGGATGTATAGGAATATGCAGGTATGCGTCCTGTAGATCTATGCTGGCCATGTGGTCCAACGGACGGACGAGATGTAGTAGTTGTGGTAGATGAATCATGCTGAACTTTTGTGGTTTGTGTAGATAATCTCTGTTGAATGTCCTCATGTTGTAAATTAGTCGGAACTTTTCTTTGGAGTTTTTCTTTGGTACGAGGAAAACTGGGGAGTAGAATCCTGGTGAGATCTGGTCCTGGTCTATCACCTCTATGGCGTCCTTCTCTAGTAGAGATGTGACCGCTTCTTGTAGCCTCTCTGTCCGATGGGTTGCAAAGTTGAACCTCTGTGGTGCGTTTGTTAGTGGAGGGGCTGCTTGTAGTTGTATGTGATATCCGTCTCTTAGGATGTTGGATACAAAAAGGATCTTGAAGAATTCCCCAGTTCTCCCAGTAGTGTTGTAGACGTCCACCCACTTGGGAAGGTTGAACAGGAACGGCTGGGGGTGGAAGACTCCAGTCGTTCCGAACCCGTCTTTCATCGTCTATAGCCTCTGGGTGCCCTGCCTCGTCCGGGTCGTCCTCTATAGTTGCCGGATGGGCGACGAAAAGAATCCTTTCCTCCTTTGGAGGTCCCCATTTTCTTTTCTCTTGCTTTCTGGATGCCTGCAAATTTGGATTTGCCAGAGTAGCGTTGGGACGCCTGTCTGATGACACTGGCTAGTGTATCAATGGACTTGATCATCAAGACTTCCCTAGATTCCTTCGTGACTTCCTTGGCGACCTTGTCAATCTCCCCTGCGAAGATGGATGTTGTAGACCATGGAGCTCTGTACAGCGTCTTAGTGAAGCGTTCACTCCAGTTGCATGACGACAATAGTCCTTGTCATCTAGCTAGCGTCAATGCTGCTGATATGGATGATAGATGCTCCGACATAAATTGGTGGTCCTTTTTCTGCGTTAGTAGGGCAGAATAAATCATCCGGTCTTCCTCTGCAGTAGAGTTCTTAAACTTGGTGATGAGCGTCTCATTAACTGCCCTGGATCTGTTAAGTCCGAAGAACATCCTTCTGGTCATAGTGTCTATCTGTGCCAGCTTTTTGTCCTCAATCTTGTAAGATTTGGTCCGGGAGTCGTTGATGATTTTATAGTTCTCATCTACTTCTTGTGCCTTCATGAAGGGGTCCATGTTGTGTAGTGAGAACTTCTTTGCGTTGAACTGTGGGATATTAGGAGCCTGGAACTTCGTTGCCTTCCTGAAGGCTGCGTCTAAATCCTCTGGTACTTCCGAGATGGGATCAATTGGAGGTAGAGTGATCGTGTCCACATCATCGTCCTTCATTAGGTATGTGAGTGCTTCATTCTCTTCCTTAGAGGGTGACGCTAGGTCCAGTCCATTAGCCATCCAATATTTTATCTCTGAGTCCGAAAATATGATACCGCCATCGTCCTCTGTATCATGTCCACTGGTATAAGATCGTTGATCATCCTCAGTTGGGGATCTGCGTGGGGACCTGTGTGGAGATCTGCGTGGCGATCTACGTGGAGATGAGCATGTTGAACTACGTGTAGTTCTAAGAGGCGATCTGTAAGGCGACCTGCGTGTAGGTGAGCGTCTTCTAGTCCGGGATTGCCTTCCTGACGATTTTGTTGACGCTGTTGAAGATATTACAGATGACCTTCCGCAGGTGAGAGATTCTGTTGAGGGTCTGAGTCCCAAGACGAGTCTCTCGACCTTCTAGGTGGTGTAGGTTTCCTTCTCTGCGAAGTGGGTAGCCTGCGTGAAGGTTCTTTATTGGCCTCATCATCTGATGACGATCTCATTGGTTCTGAAGAGCGTGCCGTCCTGCGCTCAGGTTTGCTGACGTCATGTAGCGTAGATCTGCTCTTGGTCCTAGAGCTAGATTCTCTGGTAGGCCTCTCAGATGTATCATCAGTGTGGGGTCGTTCGTGCAGGTCTGGATCCTCTCCGAGGTTGATGACTTGAGCATGAGAGCCGCCTGGCTGTCCATCATGCGTGGCTCTTTCCTGCGCGAAGCGTTTCTCCATCATCTGTTGAGAGAATTGCTGCATAAAGGCCCCGGGGTTGAATGTCTGCGACGATTGTAGAGATGTCGTCTCTGAAACGGTAGCCATATGGTCCAGGGATCGCTGTGCCTCATGGATCTCTGCTGTCGGTGTGGAAGGTAACTCGGACTGCGTAGATAGGGCTGCTGACGTTACCGTTGCTGAGGCCTGCTTCCTTTTCTTATGCTGTATCTGTGGGTTGATCAACAGCGGCTCATCATAAAGTCCTCTCTCTTCCATCGGGACGATTTCGGCCGAAAAGGTCCTCGTAGTCTGCGAAGAACTGCCCGTAGAGCTGGTTGAAGTCTTAGGGGTGTGAGGCTTCTTCTGCGTTGAAGATGGCCTCTTCTTCTTCGTATGGGTTGAGGAGTTGTCCGATGTAGAAGACCTTTTCTTCGGTGTAATGGCGGACAACATCCCACGCCCATCTTCAGAGGACGCCTCCGGCAGGTCACTGGATGGAAGTATGTCGTCTGACAACGATGGACAGCTCTTGAGGGACTCAGCCGGTTTATCCATGACTTGCAAAAGTCGTCTGGATTTATCCTTAGCACGCCTAAGTACAGAGAAATAATAATTATTAAATTGAATTTGTGTTAATTGCTGACATAAGTTACAGCGAGAGCTGGAAGTACATATTGTTGTGCAACTGGGGCACAGTAAATGCGGGTCTGCAGCAGATAACCTAAACCTACAACGAAAACAGGTTTTCATGAAATGTAAACAAACTGAACAATCACGTAAAACCGTAAATAAACAGTCAAATTACGAATAAATTTCAAACCATATTGTAGAAGGATACTCCCTGAAACCTTATAAAGGTAACTTATAGGGAAATAACTAAGTTATCAAAGGATATAGTGCCGTATTGGAGACACAGGTGCTCTCCCAACCGTCCACTAGGGTGAAGAAGGAGAGAGTGAAGTGGGAAGACGGGTGGTGCCATTTTCCCGCCAAAACTGAGAGGAAGACAACTCGTGGTGAGTAGTGATTTTACGTCTGCTTTATTGAAGGGAGCTTCAAAAAGGAGATACAAGTGTTCCACTAACGTTCAGGAAGGGAAGGAGACAAGCAATAATACATGATAAGGAAAAATTTTAAAATTCAGCTTGTATTTGGTAAGTTATTACATTCAAACAAAACCTTATGACAGTCCTGTTTAATGAAAAAAAGTGCAAACAGAATTTCCGATCTGACTTTAAACATGGCCGCCATTACTTCTTCATGATTAAGTTTAACCACAGCATGGCTCTGTTTTTCTATGGTCTGGAATAACAGTGGCGGATCCAGGGGGTTCGAACCCCCCCTTTTGAAAATGACTAAAGACCACATTTAAGTTAATGTTCTGGATCCGCCTATGAATAACATGTAATGGTATTTATCAAAGATACTCAGAACAACAGAAAATTAAGATGTCAACCTTTATCTCCTTGCGTGTCTTGGGCTGAAAATGAGTATTGAGTGGCACCCCTGGGACGATGTATAGACGGGTAAGCTGATCATTCATCTGGTTCTCTAAGTAGTCGGTTTTCCGGATAAGGCCTGAGATGTCTAATCCTGTCTCCTCCATCACCTGAGAACAAATAGAAAGGGAGAGAGTGAGTGAGTGAGATTTTACGCGCTTTTTACAATATTCCAGCAATATCATGGCAGGGGACACAAGAAATGGGTTTCACACATTGTACCCATGCGGGAAATCGAACTCGGGCCATCAGCATGACGAGCAAATGCCTTAAACAAATAGAGAAGAAAATTACCTCTTTATTAGTAAAGTTGTAAAGATACACTTTCAGTTTAGAACAAATTCCACCATTGAATGCTACAGGGGAACTACACTTTTAGGTAATAATACTAAGAATGTCTACTTTTCATAAAATGTTCCACAGGTACAAGAATGAAACACTGCTTCCTCATTGAATTTCTGTTGTCATAAACATAATAAAAGTATGTGTGAGCACTGATATTACAGTACGTACCTCTCTGACAGCGCAGTTTAGGGGACTCTCTTCAGCATTCACCTTGCCCTTAGGGAACCCCCAGCTTGCCTTGGTCCAAAACCCTTGCACCAGGAGACACTGCAAGTAAACATGTACATTTGCTTTGTTGCTTGTCATGCTAATAGTTATATTCCTTCTTACACATACAGTGTTATAGTTATCTGTCACTACAAGCCAGCTTCATTGGAGCAAAGTCGGAAGTGCTGCAGGTGTTTTATGTTTTCCAGTTCGATGAAACAAAAAAACTTGCTACGGCTGATAAACCTAGAAACCTAATCAGCGCTAATCTATCGGTCTGCTTAAATATTTTCTAATAATAATTGATAATCAGTAATATCATTGTTGTGAACAATCACATATGATCATCGATATAAAAAATTCTCATCAATATCATACGTTAATAGTTGTGAGTGAGTGAGTTTAGTTTTAGCCGCTTTTAGCAATATTCCAGCAATATTACAGTGGGCAACACCAGAAATGGGCTCCACACATTGTGCCCACATGTGGGGAATTGAAACAGGTATTCAGTGTGAACGCTTTAACCACTAGGCTACCCCACCAACTGTTAATACTTGTGAGGAAATAAAGTATTTATTCACACTCACAATACACTAGGTTACATCTTTTTTCAAGGACTGCTTGTAAATTATGTACAGATTGATGTTTTTTGTGAGTAATCCATGCAGAAATGTGTCAGTACTCAACAGTCACATTATTAAATGGTGATGAAACAGTGAACGGTTTTAGAGTTCTGCTCCGGAAAACAGTACTACCACCAATTTCTGTCTAAGTCAAACTTGTTGCCATGGAAACGCAAAAAATATTTTATTCAGAAATCCAAAACTACCAAAAGGCACCAGTAGACCACCAGATCTATCTATGTGCCAAGTTTGGTGAAGAAATATTGAACGGTTTTAGATTTATGCTCCAGAAAAGACAAATGTGCACGGACGCACGGACGCACTACGGAGTGCATTTTAATACCCCCCCACACACAAAACGCATTGCGGGGGATAATAAACCAATGATTGCAGCCTTCTGAAAGGATTTAGAGATGCAACTTTACACAGAAAATTCTGGCACCTTATACTGAAGAAATACAGTTCGCTCTACCACCATGTATAGTGTAATAAAACTCACTTTTGCCCTGAACTATTATAGTTAAAGCACGAGGACGCTTTGGCGTCCGAAAGTGCTTTAACGCCATAATAGTTCAGGGCTTAAAAGTGTTTTATTACACCATACATGGTGGTAGAGCTTAACTGTATTACTTTTCTAAGATGCCAAATTTAATACTTTCTAAGGATAATTACGATTAATTTAACGCAGAAAACAAACGACGGTATCGGGTGACCTAAATTAAGAATCCGCGACAGGGCTAACTGGCACGCTGTTCTATTGATGTGTCTGCCCCCTCACGCTAAGACCTAACGCTACCAGAAAACAAATGATAAACAGTTTGATGACGGGTTTACGCTCGATTAAATATCTTCTCTAAATTAGTTTAATTACATCTGTGATTAACGAAACCATGTGAACGCCGATTTCTACTACCAACGTATGTTTAGATCAGTACATCCAGACGAAGCTGAGTAGTCAAGCGACATTCCACGCATTGCATTGTGGGATGTAAACATTGCTAACGCTGCCGTCGCTGAAAACTTGTGAGTCGAATTGAGACATTTAAAACGCCAGAAAACATAAACGTAATGTTTCCACCAGTGATGTTAGGTGAGTGAAGCAACTGCAAACCAAGAAACGGGATGCAACGCAGTAGTTTACTGTAGGAGGCTGTACGAGGTGATGACAACTGACATGCATCGTGACGCCGCTACATTGTGACGCAATAACCGCTAGGCATCTTAGAAAATGTTATACAACTGGGACCACTACTTGTATTCACAATCTGTTCGACTTAAAGGTCACATGCAACGTAAAACACAACTTTGCAGATTCTGATACCTTTCAGTATGGACGCATCGAAACAAATCATCAAAATGCAAATTCAAGTTATAAAGTTGAAAAAAACCCGATGAAAAACGGCACAAAATCGGAGTTCAAACATTCGTTTGAACTCCGATTTTATGCATGGTTTTTTCATCGGTGGAAAACGGGTTTCAACAGCTGGGCTGCGCTCATAGCATGTGCCCAGTGAAATAGGTTCGCGCAACTTGGAAGCGGGCTGTCTGGTGAATACTCGGTGAAGGCTTTGGTGTGAGCTATTTTCATAATGTTTTGTTGATATCTCACAGGTATGAAGCTTTTATATGTTATGACAGTAAATAAACTGTTTATATAATTTCATTTGTCTATTTCACCACACGTTCTTCTTACCGAGTCACTTTCTCAGTTCGATACTTAAAAGCAATGTCATTATTTAGCGTTGACACAATTTCTAACTGTGATATAGATATGTCGTTGTCACAGACAAAACTCAATGTCTTGTTTTATTGACACCTGTGTGTCTGCCTGCCTGTCTGCTAATGACAATATTCAATACACAACTGCGATCACTGACCACATGCAATTTGAACTTAACACCAATCAGGCTATACACCATAAACAAAACGCATTGATTTATGGCCCGAGTTCGGTCTCTGTCACATTATGTAATTACACAGACAGGCAGGTGTGATACTTGAACACATGACATGTTATGATGTCTGTTGATTGCAAAATGTTATACACAAAAAATGAGCATGTATTTACAAAACCCAACATCTCTATATATACACACACAATGAGCCGTGAAGGCGGCATCTGCAAATGAACCAGCCGTTACACTTGAGTGCACACCCACCCGCTCTGACTGGGTTCGGTATCCCGGCTGCTTTGTTTCGAGGGAGGTAAACCCAAGTACAAAATATTGCACTTTTGATTTGCGATTATACACTTATAATTTTGTTTATTTGTTTTTTCATAATCAGCAATGCATATTATATGTCATGAAGAAGTGATAATTGTATTTTAATTATGTTTGATTTTTTGGTTGCATGTGACCTTTAACAAAGCATCAATGTCATTATTATGTATTGTATCAATAAGTGAGGTGGTGAGGTGAAATGGGGTTTTGAGAATATTTTTCGCTCATATGACGATGTGCATGCGTGTGATTCTGTGAATGTGCGGCTGCTTGTACTAACCCTGACTAAAGCTGGTTTTATAGTGCTAGATCACTGAGATAACATGCCGTAGTTACGCATGAACACCCCACTCAGACACATTATACTGGCTCTGAGCCGACCAGTCCTTGTTGTACCCATTAATGCCGAGAGCCAGGCAGGGACCAACAAGTATTATATTTTAATGTCTTTTGGTATGACGCGGCTGGGGATCGAACCCGCAGCCTTCCGCTCTCCTGGTGGACGCTCTAACCACTACACCATGGAGGTGGTCCATCAATAAGTGACCGGCACACACTAACATGACTAATGCTAAGTGAACATACATATTTTTTGTCTGGATCCAGGATGATAGCTCCATAGGTTGGCACACTCATTTTGTAGGCTCTCCATTCTTCGAGTCGCTTGTCCACATGCTCTGCATGGATGGACAAAAATGGACAGTGGCGAAAAACTTATATGGTTAAGAAAAGTCTAATTCATCATAGAATGAATCAAGGCAGATAAAAGATTTTCAAACTTGAAAAGTTCAACAGGCTTTTAATCTTGGTAGGAGGAAAACTAATTTGGCATTGTGGCACAGTTTAGGCAAGGAAATATAACTTTGGCAATCTTCACATTCATGAATTAACATCAAACATATTTCAAGATGAACGTAAATATTATCATGCGTACAATTCCCCTAACAATACCATAAGTCATTAGGGGTGAAATACTATACTGCGGTATTAGTAGAACCTCAGTATTTTGCCTTCGGTTCGGTATACCGTAATGCAATCTAAATATTCAGTATTTTCAGTTATTGTTTTCAAATTATCATTTCTATCTAGTCATAAAATGACAGTTTTGTTCATCCAAAATAACAAAAATGATGGTTATTTTTTTCCATGTTATTAAACAATATGTAAGGTTTGGCTCTTGTCTTGTTTCTGCATTATAATCATTTCTCATACACCGAATTGAATTGAAACGGACCGAACCGAAGGCCTTGTACTGCAATACGTACTGTACCGTACTGTAGTAAAAGCGTACCGTTTCACCCCAAAAAGTCATACACTCTTTAAAACTTCCTGTATCATGGTTTCAAACCTTCATTAACCTCTTTTCTTAAAACTATTCTAGGCTTTATCGTCTCTTTATGTTTATAGAAAGGGATTCCAACGTTCAAATTATCAAATATTACGCAAAATCTAATGTGATATGTTAAAAGAAAGGATACTGTGTGAAGAGAAATCCTTGATTCCGCATGTCTTGAGTTCTGGATTTTCAGCACAGTAGAAGTCAAGATAAAACCAGTGTGCCAGCTCTACTTGGAAGAAGATGCGGATCAAGTCTTGACGTTCCTCTTCAGGGATATTGATGATGAATCGACTAGAAAAAGACATGAAACACAGAACTATAGGATATTCGAAAAGAAAGCCCCAAGGGACATAACTCTATGAGGCTTCGCTTGAAATAATGTTCAGTCGGTAGAGGGCACAAAAGTCGATTTAATGCAATGTTGCATTAATTCATTCAAACTTTTTAATTTAATATTGTAATCTAAACATGTATTTTTTTTTAATAAACTATATGGTAGCTTCCCTGAGGGCTGATAGTATTATTGAGAGAAATACATTAATTATTTTTAGAGAAGTGTGGTGTGAAATAGTGCCTTTAAAGTTTACAATGAGGATACCTGAAATAACGCGGCCGTTATAAAGTCTGGCATTAACACACTAGTCCAAAATGTTCATGGGAAAGGCAAATTTCATGGCGAATCTAAACACAATCTATCAACTGTATCTCGAATTTTGGAATGAATCAGTTAGATTTGTAATGACAAGGATTGGTGAACAGCTTTACCAGCTGTGTAAAAGGGTTATACTAGTATGGGGGGTCTAATTGGGTGTTTTCACCCTTCCCATGCAATTTAGGCAGGGAAGCTAAAGGTTAGAACAATATAGATATGAAGCATGTTTCAGTGTATTTCTTTTTTTTATTCTGACAATATTTTGATATGCATTTATTCATCACATAAAGTCTGTTGATTTAGCAGTTTGTTCGTTGTCGATAATAGAAACTAACTAGCATAACTAAAGACCTTTTAATTTATGATGTACAAGGACATGACTAGTGATTTGTGATTTGTATCCAGACAAAATGCGGACACACACAGTCGACAGCCTTGAACATACACTCATTTTAATGACAAACCTGCACAGGTCGTCCAAAACGTATCCGGGGATTGGAAATGCTGGAGTTGAAGGCTGGGTAGTTGATGTGGGAGGTGCTTGAGTTTCCATCTTTCATTTGTCAAAACTGAAAGTTATGTAGGAAGCCAATTTTGAAATTTCATATGAATCTCCGCCATGGTCACCGGAAGCGGAAATTGAGCTAGAATAAATAGTCTTTTCCAATAGAGAAGAATAATACATTTATGCACCTTATGCGAACAAGCACACAACGTTTCCCCACGTTCGACCATAACTTGAACACAATAAATTCTGTAGTTCTATACATGAGGCTCGTGGCCTATATACATGTACAGGAATAATATGATCTAACAACAATGAGATATCAGATTGGCACAAGTATAGGGTCCCTCTTCAGTGATTTCCTTCAACGAGGAAAGCATGAGGAAGGCACGTTGTACGTATAGCCTACTTTATCAAATCATACTGTTTACACACGAGTTGTTGCCACACTATTGGGGCTTTTTTTGGACTGATATTTGTAACTTTTCAATGACAGACTACTTCTATAAACGGAAAGGAAACGTAGTAATGTAAAGAACATTATGGGATACATACTCCGAGATTCTGCTCTCTTATAGATCTCTATATAACCAGGGAGACTCTTGTAGAGTATCCCTGATATAACGTATAGAATAAATGACATCACCTACCCCCTGTCTGTTTTAAAGGTACTTTTACATCCGAGGCATTATACTATGACTTGGAATGATAAGCAGAATCTCTTTTCATATCAAATATCAGCAAGAGTAGATAGAAATATTACATGCAGAGGCTTCAAGGAGAAAAAAAGTGCCTTAAACTATTCATAACTCAAACGAACAGCTAACTCATTTCGTCATAACAGTAGTTCGTTCGACTAAAATAATGTATCAAATTGTTTCTTCATGCAAATGAAATGGTCATTTATTATCCGTGGCTGTGCGACAGGTATAAACCGTTTCTCAACTTATCACGATGCTCTCCATCATGGATTTAGAAGCAGGTTGCAGGCAAATACAGGACAACTGCAGTCAACAAGACAAATCAATCCCTAGCAACGGAAGCTGAACTCTGATATATTGTCTAAGGAAACGATATACTAATAACCTTGCATTTCACACAACATGATAATAGTCATAGGAGATGACAACACAATGCTTCAATCATCTTGCCGACTGCGACTTTCAGGCGCAGAAAAGGATCAGGTCAAACTTCACCGACTACACAGACGGTACTGGTATTATTTTCAACTGCACGATCTCATGCAGGAATAAATATACAAGTCCTAAAGGCCCTCGTGCAGCACCCGACACTGTCCTCTGAAGCTTCCCCCAAACAGTCTGCATATTTGTAATCCAAACATTTTCAATCAGAAAAACATTCACTTTTGTAACCAGCCCGTTCATTCACTATCATAACGCCGACGCTGCCCACAACACTTTCCTCTTGAACATCGACTAACAAGACATAGCAGGATGCAGTCACCAAATCAACACAGTTCTTTGGGTACATACACATACTTCAGTGGATCACTTGTAGGCCTTGTTTAAATACTGAACGAAAATGATTTCACATCAAAGAACATAGCTGCTGACTTACTTGTGCCTGTCCCCTGCCTGTTGCAGCAAAAACTCCTTTGGCAGTACATCCCGAACGCTACACGTCCGTCAGACGCGTTCACCGACTATATCATGACGTCAGCTGATTGTTGACGTTTTTCGTTCATGACGAAATCACTTATGGGACACAGAAACGAATGACGCGGCGCCATTGTAGACGTCACAGACTCGAGCTTGGCGACATCACCACTCTATTCCAGAGCGTTTGTGGACCCATGCATGTATTTAGCAAGGGTGGTGATTTATTATTTGGGGCCGTGAGACAGGTATGAAGCCTTTGTCAACTTATCACGATGCTCAACATCATGTATTTAGCACAGGTTGCAGGCAAATACAGGACAACTGCAGTCAACAAGGCAAATCAATCCCAAGCAACGGAAGCTGAACTCTGCAGAAAACACTGACGTTGTTAGGTTCATATGCGCATAAATAGTTGAATGATGTGTCAAAGCAGAGGGCACTCATATTTTCATGTCAATGCTTATTTTCATCGAAAATAGAACCAGAAGAAAAACACTCTGAAATATCATGGCAACTGCCGTGTAGAAAAGCGGAATTCTACAAGCACAGACAACTGACTTCATTCAAACAAATATTTACAGAGGAACCAGTGTAATCACACCTGTTACCTACTTCTGCCACTTGTTGATATATTTTCTAAGGAAACGATATACTAATAACTTTGTATTTCACACAACATGATAACAGTCATAGGAGATGACAACACAATGCTTCAATCATCTTGCCGACTGCGACTTTCAGGCGCAGAAAAGGATCAGGTCAAACTTCACCGACTACACAGACGGTACTGGTATTATTTTCAACTGCACGATCTCATGCAGGAATAAATATACAAGTCCTAAAGGCCCGTGTGCAGCACCCGACACTGTCCTCTGAAGCTTCCCCAAACGGTCTGCATATTTGTAATCCAAACATTTTCAATCAGAAAAACATTCACTTTTGTAACCAGCCTGTTCATTCACTATCATAACACCGGCGCTGCCCACAACACTTTCCTCTTGATCATCGACTAACAAGACATAGCAGGATGCACTCACCAAATCAACACAGTCCTTTGGGTACATACACATACTTCAGTGGATCACTTGTAGGCCTTGTTTAAATACTGAACGAAAATGATTTCACATCAAAGAACATAGCTGCTGACTTACTTGTGCCTATCCCCTGCCTGTTGCAGCAAAAACTCCTTTGGCAGTACATCCCGAACGCTACACGTCCGTCAGCCCCGTTCACCGACTATAGAATCATTGTCTATGACGTCAGCTGATTGTTGACGTTTTTCGTTCATGACGAAATCACTTATGGGACACAGAAACGAATGACGCGGCGCCATTGTAGACGTCACAGACTCGAGCTTGGCGACATCACCACTCTATTCCAGAGCGTTTGTGGACCCATGCATGTATTTAGCAAGGGTGGCGATTTATTATTTGGGGCCGTGAGACAGGTATGAAGCCTTTGTCAACTTATCACGATGCCCAACATCATGGATTTAGCACAGGTTGCAGGCAAATACAGGACAACTGCAGACAAGAACACAAATCAACCCCAAGCAACGGAAGCTGAACTCTGCAGAAAACACTGACGTTGTTAGGTTCATATGCGCATAAATAGTTGAATGAAGTGTCAAAGCAGAGGGCACTCATATGTTCATGTCAATGGTTATTTTCACCCAAAATAGAACCAGAAGAAAAACACTCTGAACTATCATGGCAACTGCCGTGTAGAGAAAGCGGAATTCTACAAGCACAGACAACTGACTTCATTCAAACAAATATTTACAGAGGAACCAGTGTAATCACACCTGTTACCTACTTCTGTCACTTGTTGATATATTTTCTAAGGAAACAATGTACTAATAACTTTGTATTTCACACAACATGATAACAGTCATAGGAGATGACAACACAATGCTTCAATCATCTTGCCGACTGCGACTTTCAGGCGCAGAAAAGGATCAGGTCAAACTTCACCGACTACACAGACGGTACTGGTATTATTTTCAACTGCACGATCTCATGCAGGAATAAATATACAAGTCCTAAAAGCCCGTGTGCAGCACCCGACACTGTCCTCTGAAGCTTCCCCCAAACGGTCTGCATATTTGTAATCCAAACATTTTCAATCAGAAAAACATTCACTTTTGTAACCAGCCCGTTCATTCACTATCATAACGCCGACGCTGCCCACAACACTTTCCTCTTGATCATCGACTAACAAGACATAGCAGGATGCACTCACCAAATGAACACAGTCCTTTGGGTACATACACATATACTTCAGTGGATCACTTGTAGGCCTTGTTTAAATACTGAACGAAAATGATTTCACATCAAAGAACATAGCTGCTGACTTACTTGTGCCTATCCCCTGCCTGTTGCAGCAAAAACTCCTTTGGCAGTACACCCCGAACGATACACGTCCGTCAGCCCCGTTCACCGACTATAGAATCATTGTCTATGACGTCAGCTGATTGTTGACGTTTTTCGTTCATGACGAAATCACTTATGGGACACAGAAACGAATGACGCGGCGCCATTGTAGACGTCACAGACTCGAGCTTGGCGACATCACCACTCTATTCCAGAGCGTTTGTGGACCCATGCATGTATTTAGCAAGGGTGGCGATTTATTATTTGGGGCCGTGAGACAGGTATGAAGCCTTTGTCAACTTATCACGATGCTCAACATCATGGATTTAGCACAGGTTGCAGGCAAATACAGGACAACTGCAGTCAACAAGGCAAATCAACCCCAAGCAACGGAAGCTGAACTCTGCAGAAAACACTGACGTTGTTAGGTTCATATGCGCATAAATAGTTGAATGATGTGTCAAAGCAGAGGGCACTCATATTTTCATGTCAATGCTTATTTTCACCCGAAAATAGAACCAGAAGAAAAACACTCTGAAATATCATGGCAACTGCCGTGTAGAGAAAGCGGAATTCTACAAGCACAGACAACTGACTTCATTCAAACAAATATTTACAGAGGAACCAGTGTAATCACACCTGTTACCTACTTCTGCCACTTGTTGATATATTTTCTAAGGAAACGATATACTAATAACTTTGTATTTCACACAACATGATAATAGTCACAGGAGGTGACAACACAATGCTTCAATCATCTTGCCGACTGCGACTTTCAGGTTCAGAAAAGGATCAGGTCAAACTTCACGGACTACACAGACGGTACCGGTATTATTTTCAGCTGCACGATCTCATGCAGGAATAAATATACAAGTCCTAAAAGCCCGTGTGCAGCACCCGACACTGTCCTCGGAAGCTTCCCCCAAACGGTCTGCATATTTGTAATCCAAACATTTTCAATCACAAAAACATTCACTTTTGTCACCAGCCCGTTCATTCACTATCATAACACCGGCGCTGCCCACAACACTTTCCTTTTGAACATAGACTAACAAGACATAGCAGGATGCACTCACCAAATCAACACAGTCCTTTGGGTACATACACATACTCCAGTGGATCACTTGTAGGCCTTGT